AATGACGAAGACTCCAAGGAATTGAAAAACATTGATCTTTGATTTCTTGCAGATCTTTCCCATTATATAATATTTGGGGCATACTTTCTTTAGACAAAGACTGAAAAAAGCTTTCGAAGTCTAGAGGATTAACACAATCTGGTAGTAGATTATTGTCTTGGATTCTTGACTTAACCTGTGTAACAAGGACTTGACTGCACTTTTAACTGGAAAAATAGGAAGGAAAAAGGTTTTACAGTCTGACTAGAGACTAAACAACTGGGACTATGGTGCCAGTTTCTTTTTAGGAACGTAACCTGGCGGATTCGTTTCGAACCTAAATTATAAGTTTTATTCGATCGGAGAAGAGGACCCCATTTGGAGTAGAGGACTTTCTGCCGAAATTTAAGAATAAGACTTGAAACAGTTTGCCAATACAAAGTTCAAACTGGTAGAAGTGGCGGCAGCAGAGGTCTAATACCAATGGATTAGGTATGCTTTATTTTGGATCTGACCATAGGTCTAACATGTTTGGAACTTATATAGAGTCCAAATTTGGAGAAAAACTCCTTCGAAACCATAGTGATAGACGAACAAGTTTGCCAAGTACAGTACATTCCAAATTAGTTCAAACTCAACAAGATCAGAAAACAAAGGTGATCATGTTTTATTTGCCACCAGACCTCTAACATGTTTGAGAATGTGTAGAGTCCAAATTTGGGGAACAGTAGACGAACAGTTTGCGAAATCTACATCTCTGCTAACGTTCAAACTGGTAGAAATGGAGGCAGAAGAGTCTAAGCACATACTCAACAATATCGATAAACAACTGGATTATGGTTTATTTAGTATCTGACCATAGACCTAACATATTTGGAACTTATATAGAGTCCAAATTTGGATAAAAACTCCTTCGAACCCTAGACATAGACGAAGAGTTTACCAGCTATAGTTCAAACTGGTAGTGGAGTCTGACCAGAGACTTAACGAGATCGAATAGCTTGGGAATTAGGCTTTGTTTGGTATTTGACAAGAGACCTAACATGTTTGGGACTTGTCTAGAGTCCTAATTTGAAGACAACGTCTTTCGAACGATAGACATAGACAAACAGTTTGCTAAATAAATCAGTTTAAACTTTTAGAAATGGATGCAGCGGAATCAGAAAAGAAATTTAACATGAACGAAAAACAAAGAGGATCATGTTTTATTTGGGATCTGACCAGAGACCTAATATGTTTGGGTCTTGTCTAGAGTACAAATTTGGAGAAAAACTCCTACGAACCATAGACATAGACGAACAGTTTGGCAAATAAACTTTTAGAAATGAAGGCAGCGTAGTCTGACCCGAAACTTAACATTGAAAAACAAAGGGAATCATATTTTATTTATAAACTGACCAGAGACCTAACATGTTTGGGTCTTGTCTAGAGTCCAAATTTGGAGAAAAACTCCTACGAACCATAGACATAGACGAACAGTTTGTCAAATAAATCAGTTCAAACTTTCAGAAATGAAGGCTGTAGAGTCTGACCAGAAACTTATCAACATCGAAAAATAAAGGAAATCATGTTTTATTTAGAATCTGACCAGAGACCTAACATGTTTGGGACTTGTGTAGAGTCCAAATTTGGAGAAAAACTGCTTCAAACCAGAGATTTAACACAATCTGCTAAGACTTGACTGGGCTCAAAGCTTGGATAACATTAACTTCGAATCTTAGACTTTGGCCCAAATCGCGAAAGAATGAGAAAATCTCCAGGAGTTACAATCATAGATTCATATCGTTGCGGTACTGCGAGACAGATCATGTTTATGAGATCAATATTATCATTATTTTAACTCAATATAAAGAGTATTGTGTGGTTAAATCCACAAATAATTTGATCCAAAAGTTATTTATTCATTGATTAAACTTTTAAACGTTTTTATAATATTGTCAAGAGACCACAATTTGCTTCGTTTACTGCGGTTAGAAATGCAATCAACATCTGATAATCTATTTTCGTTCCCATGTGCATAATCATAACAAGAATATATACGCCGGTATATCCCCATATACTGATTCACTAGATTAATTATATTATTAGTACTTGTTATTTGCCCCCAATAAATATCTAAAAATATTTAAATTTATATAAAAACTCGCGACTGCAGCATATGTAAAGTATGTCAAAATCGATACATTTCGTCCGACTGGCTTTAGACAGTTTTGCATAAGATTTCCACAATACCGTGGTCAGGGTCCTCAAATATTTAACTGTCCAACTAAGACTTCTACTCTTTTTCTAAAGAAAATATGTTGCAATTCTGTAGAATGAGCACAATTTAAAGGCTCAGGACTCGATAAATTTTAAATTCACTGTTCTATTCTAGATGCAATACGATACCACTAGCGAAATTTCCCACAACCCACAAATAATGTATGGTAATTGAAATGAAACAACAAAACCTGTTCTTGACCGCTATTTGACAAGAATTGCATAATATGACTTATAACAGATGGCTGTCTTACTTCCTGACCTGCACCAAGGTCACACGGTTACAGTCAACAATGATAACAACACATGTACGTACACTCGACAGCGGGGATTTTGTTTTTGTAAAATTTTACAAGATAAATTTGGTGTGTTGTTTTTAAATTTGTTATCTTTAAAGAAATAGTTTGGGAATTTTCTAAAAACTCACACGAAAAACAGATAATCAGCTGTTTATCTGCCGCAAACATTCAAACATTCTCGTTTAATGCAATTTAAGAATGGCGCAAGATAGATATGGCTGCTAATGCCGTAAAGCGACTAGAAATTTAACGCATATGTATATTTATGTCATTGAATTAGAATTAGTCAAATACAATACTGGTTTCCCTAGAATACCGGTAGTCTCGAGAGGAAAACAGTTTCTTCTGTAGAAGTTGCAACGACGAAGAAAAGGGTGAGACTACGGAGCATTTTCACTTCTCATTGTCCCGCTTATGGTGACTTTAGAAACCAAAAAAGATTTATAATAAAAATACAACGAAGTCATATAGATTTGCTTGGATTCCTGGCTTCTCAGTCGGCTGTCAATCCAACTCAATATATTAAAGAGAAGATTTAAACGTTATTGGATATTCGTACAGAGACAATCCATTTGCAGTTAAATTTCCCTAAAGGAAGTCCTAATGAATTTATATCGGGAACTTCTGTTGCCCATTCGTTGATTATGCTCGACCCTGATATTCGTGCAGAGACCTGCTATTCGTACAGAGACGATTCATTTGCAGTTTTATTTCCCCAAATGTACTCATTTCCTGGAACCCATATAAACTCTGGAAACTGTAGCCAGCGTCGCCACAAAGAGTGATTATAACTGAGAAGAAATTTCGAACGTACAAAGTTGGTGATTATAAGATATTTGTTGGATTCTATGTAAAAGATTGGTCAAGACCAGATAATTTTATTTGTTCTGAGTTCCATTTAATCTGTCACTCATTTGTCTATTATGTTCGATACTGCAGCCGCGTAAAAGTGAATATTCTTTTGCGAAATAGCTTTGTATAAGGACTATCCGTTTGCAGTTTAATTTTCCCGAAGATCGTCAAAATGGGGCTGGTCCCAGAATTCCATATCTTGAGTTTTCATTTCACCTGTCGCCTATTTGTCGATTATGTTCGATACTATAGCCAAGTGAACATGAGTATCCTTTGCCGAAAGAGTTTCTCGACGATTGATTTTCGCGAGAACCCATTAGAAAACGCAACCCATAACAAGTCGTCTAAGTTATGGCAGGGATGCAATGCAATTGAGAAACATCAGAAGCGAAACATTAGCCGAAAGAGTTTCTCAACGATGCGTTTGCAAAGTTTGATTTTCGCGAATATTCTCATTTTAGAGAACCCATAAGATATCTAAACCCATAATAAGTCGTCTAAGTAATGACAGGAATGGAATGTATTTGAGAAACCGCAGAAGCGAAACAGCAGCCAAGAGAATATTCATTGGCGAATATTCGAGAGTTTCTCGACGATGCGTTTGCAGTTTGATTTTCGCGAATATTCTCATTTCGAGAACCCATAAGAAAACGCAACACATAACAAGTCGTCTAAGTTATCGCAGGGATGCAATGCAATTGAGAAACATCAGAAGCGAAACATTAGCCAAAAGAGTTTCTCAACGATGCGTTTGCAAAGTTTGATTTTCGCGAATATTCTCATTTCAGAGAACCCATAAGAAATCTAAACCCATAGTAAGTCGTCTAAGTAATGACAGGGATGGAATGTATTTGAGAAACCGCAGAAGCGAAACAGCATCCAAGAGAATATTCATTGGCGAATATTCGAGAGTATCTCGAAGATGCGTTTGTACAGTTTGATTTTCGCGAATATTCTCATTTCCTAGAACCCATAGGAAATCGCAACCCATAACAAGTCGTCTAAATTGTGGCAGGGATGAAATGCAATTGAGAAACCGCAGAAGCGAAACGGCAGCCAAAGGAATATGCAGTTTCTTTGGCGTAACAGTTGCGTCTAAGGACTGTCCGTTTGCATTTTACTTCTCCTGGAAAACGGAGCCAAAGAGTTTCATCTGAGGGCGATACATTGGCAGTTTCAAATACCCGAATACTCTCATTTGCTGAAAACCATATAAAGATGGGACAGAGAATGATTGTTATTGAGAAGAGCTTTGATAGATGCATAACTGCAGACGAAGATATCAATGGTCGATATACTGGTAGATACTCGGATGCTTCTCGGGATCAGAACGATGTCTGCAAAACTGCAGACGTAGATATCAATGGTCGAGGTACTGATTGATATTCGGATGCTTCTCCGGGACTTTATGAGGGCGTAAATTTTAGCAAGGAATATAGTGCAAAACTTTGGATTTAAAATGTAAAGTGGACTTTCCAATAAGACATTTATTTTCATTGAAAAACCCCATAGTGCAATAATGTATTTTAGGTAGTTGTAAGAGAATGAGAGCAGAGAAAAACATTAAGGAAAATACCGTTTTATAAATGTTTGAAAAGAAAATGTTTTTCCGTTTTGTTTTAGCTGGTTGTTCTTGTTGTTGTTGGCGAAAAAAACTACGGCTAGACGAAGAATACAACAAAAATACACATTCAACACTAAAAATGGCAACAACATACACGTGTTTTTCATTCAATTGACTAGTTGTTCTTGTCAAAGGTGGTGGTTACAAACAAACCGTTATTAAGAGTGAAAATTTAAGAGAGCAAATTTTATTACTAAGAGAGTAAGAGTATGTTTTTACGGGATTTTAGTGTTATAACGTAAAAACCCACAAATATCGTATGGTTTTATTATGCCTGCTGTTTAGTTTGAGTTCGTGAATCTTAACAATATGACGACGTAACGGACGGTCGCTGTTTGATTTTTTCTAAATAAAGAATAATTAAAAAATTAAAAAATCAAAAGTGATTTGTATAAAATCGTGGTCGCTTTTAGTGCAAAATAAAAATATTATAAAAAAAAAATAGCAAAACAAAAGAAAAAAAATAACAAAATACCAAATGATATGGTTAAATATATGAAATAAATAAAAAAAAGAAATAATCAAAGTTCATAAATTAAACAAAAATTTAGCAAGTGTTCGATGTGTTCTTTGGCTGATTTTGCATAAATTTTGTATTTATTTTTTTCAATTTGATAAAGTTCATACAACATTAACGATTTAAATGTAGAGTGTTATCAGTAAATAGTCTGAGAATTTCTTTAAATTACTTCGTTAATGATTAATTTTTTTACATTTAACTAAAAAAAAATATTAAAACTTTTCAATAGTGCAATTTTAAGTTGCTTTTACTTAAGAAATAACGGTACTTTTGCTGTTTTAACACTTAAACGGTTGATCGTTCGTTAAAGAGTGCAAGAAAAATTTTGTAAAAAATTTAAAAAAAATCTTAAGCGGCTGGTTACCGCCATAATAATACAAAAATAAAGTGAATTCTTTTAAAATAAAATCAAAATTTTAAAAATCATATACATATATAATTCCTTATAAAGAAAAAAATATTCAAAATTAAAACCCATATTTCAACATAATCAAGTGCAAAAAATATTGTCGAATATTAATATTTAAACCCAACTAGCTGGTCTAGTCATAATATAAACCAACAAAAACTACAAAACAAGGAGCAATCTATATTATATAACTCTTCGGCTACAAGTCTTTAGTTCTTTCAACAAGACTTCTTCTCTCTACTACTTATCTTCAGCATTGTTAATTTACCAGGATTTGCAAACAAATCACTTCATTTAACCAACCAACAACTACCACAAACAACATCAACCAACTAAAAAAATCCAGCAACCAACCGACCAACTCTTAACAAGGATATAACAAACTAAAAAAAAGAATAAATCAAGACACAAAGAGAAAAAAACAAGTCCTTGCACGTTGTGCATTTCAACTCTGACGTAAATACAACAAATTATAAAAATAAAATCTACAATAAAATTTGTAGTGAAATGGACTATGAATTGTTTAGTTTTAAGTTTAAGTTTTATATTAAATGTTTTTTACGAGGGTCTGGTGCTTAAGTTTGCTGTGAAATCTTGAAAAATTTTAACTAAAAGTGATATTCAATACCAAAAATTAAGAAATTCAACGTGTTTAATGTTTCTAAAGTGACTTGAACTGGAAAATTCGAATTCTTCATAATTTAAGTACTTTTATATAGAGGATCAAACGATCGATATGATTTGATCAGATTGTATCTAAAGCGACTTGATCTGGACAATTTAAATTCCTCAAAATTTAAGTTCTTTTATAAAGAGGATCAAACGATCGATATGATTTGATCATTCCTTATACATATACAATTTCTAACCCAGCGGCCTATTAGGCAAGCTCTTTCGATTACATTTTGCTTCGGAACTCACTTAAATCTCTAATGAAGATTTAGAAAACCTCTAGTCTTTAGACTGATAGATTTGAAAACCTTCCTTAAGTGATGTTCAGTTCAAGAAACCTTTCTAAAGTGATATTCAGTTCAAGAAGTTTGCCTGTTTAATGTATCTAAAGTGACTTGATCTGGATAATTCGAATTCTTCAACATTTAAGTTCCAAATGTTATTAAGAGGATCAAACGATCGATCTGATCTGATCTGATCAGTGTTCTTTTCACTCCTTATATACAATTTCTAACTATATGCTAATAATACCCAATAAGGTTATTGGGTAGATCTTCCAATTATATTTTGCTTTGAAAACTTCCTTAAATCTCCAAGAAAGTTTTAGTAGGCCCCCCAGTCTTGCTTGGAACTTTCTTTAAACCTTTAATGAAATTAAGCGTTAAACGAGGTCATCCTCTCCTATAAAGAAAAAGTCTGATCTTATTCTGAGCGGTATTCTTTTCAATCGTTATGTACAAGTTCTAACTATGGTAATTGAAAGTGATCTCCAGTCCCATAAATTAATCAGATGTTCATGTTATAAAGAGGATCAACATGATTATATTCCGCTCACGAATCTTTTCAATTGCTATATTTCGAACTAGAAGAGAAGTGTTCAGAACGATGAAACAACTATTTCCAATTATATTCTTCTTGGGACTTTCTTTAAATCTCTTAAGAAATTAACTGTGAAATGAAGTCAAAGTTTTACATGTTATGAAGAGAATCAACCGATCGCTCTGATCTTCTTGGTTAAAGATTGACGAGATAACGAAATAAAGAAAAAAGTCTGATAGTATTCTGATCAGTGTTCTTTTCAATCGGTATATACAACTCCTTTAAATATCCAGACTTTAAAACCACGAATTAAACTATTTTCAATGCTATATTTTTGCATAGAACTTTCTTTAATCTCTAATGAAATTCACCGTGAAACGAGATCAAATTTTCCTTAACTAAGTTTAAATTATTTTCTCACTCTATATCAATGGACGCATCCATTGTAGTGGAACATAGTAGAGTCTTTCACCCGAATTAATCCCGCAAACTCCACACAAATAAACTACTCTACTAATTAGCCTATGGGGTAGAAATTGTAATTGGATTGGATCGAGGGGTGCAGACAGGATATCATTCAAATCGATGATCATTTCAAGAACTCCACTGATCAGTTTTGTGAAATTCTTTATATCAAATGAAAACTTCGGCAATTTGACTTTTAGGTACTTTTTAAACTCGATCATCTTCATCGAAAAGAACTTTTAGTTCAGTCCCTGTTTCGCTTAGCCGTTTCCGTAACTTGAATATCATCTAACCGGCTTGGAATGAGCAGCCCACAAGTTGGAGCTTTATCGATCACTTTTTAAGTATCACAATTTTGTCTAGAACTGGAATAATTTTTAGCCTATCGTCAGACCACATTTGCATAAGAAACTAAGGGAAATGACATGAAGCCGAATGACTTCCGTAATGTTCTAGTGGAAATATTAGAGGTGTAGCTTTGGGTAGTAGTGCTGCTCATCTTTTTTAACTTCATTTGTGACCATGCATCTTCTTTTGAAGGTAAGCCTTTTTAGCTGTCGATCCATCTGATATGCCTACTCGGGATTTTAAATTCAGGCAGCTATTGGCATAATTTCTATGTCTTCTCGACGTTAATGTCTTGATCGATGTAGTGTTTAAACATTTATGTTGATGTTGGTACCTTCTGATCTTTGACATCTGAACTTAAGACTGTAGAGCCTTGCGAGTTTGCCGTAGAATCCAGTAACGCATATCTTTCTTCCCTTAAGACCAATACCTCGGCAGAGTTGGAACTTAAATCTTCCAACAACATGTTATTGTTTCATTTAATTCGAGCATTGTTTAGGTTCAGACAGAACCATATAATCCTTATCCTTGATTGTTTACTGTTATTGTTTAAAATAAGTTTAAAATTCATCTAAAACCAATACTCCTTTGTCGGTCATTTGAGCATAAAAGGTCTATGATGAATGAAGTTCGGTTTACGAATGTTGGATTCAAATTGGAACATTGTGCTCACGATCTTTCTCTTTGATGATCTATGCTTGGCGCGAGATTTTACATTCTTATCCCAATACTTCTGCTCCAGTTTTATTTTGTGGAATATTCAGTTTCAACAACTGATAGAGATGTTGTTACTACGATCATTAACATTCCACTCTCTCACCCTTTCATCTCACACCACTTAATGCACCAGCCTCGTAAGAATATTTTTTTTTTTTTCATCAGTGTTTTGTGCAAAATCTTTATTATGAATAGCAAACCAAATAACAACAACAAACACAACAAGAACAACGGCAACTTTATTATGAAGAAAGAAACAACACAAATTAATTATTAAGTTGTTATAACAACAACAAGTGCATTGCTCTTTTTGCCTTTCTCTCTCTCTCCTTTCTTTTAAATACAAACAAATATTTCTTTGTGGACAAGTTCTTCTCAGAGTTTTTTTATGCGCTGTTGTTGTTTGTTTTTATTGTTGTTGTTTGTATTGTAATATAAATTTACATTTTGCACAAAACAAGATTTTTTTTTTAAATTTTTTATTATAATACAGAAAATTTTTAATGAAACACAAAACAAACAATATTATTATAAGACGATATTTTTTTTTTTTAATTTTTAAATGATTTTATTATAAATAAGTTTTTCTCTCAGTGCATAAGAATGATTGTAATATTTTTCAATTTGTTTTCTTTTATACTAGACAAGACAAAGACGTAAAAACAATTGACAGTCATATATACCTAGACAATATTTATTTATTGTTGTTATTGCAAGTCCTCTTGCAGATTTTTTTTTTTTTTTGCCCAGCAACTAGTTAGTGTTTTTGTTATTGTTTTTTAGTCTAGCCGGAGATTGTTTTGCTAAATCTTTTGATATTTTTCAAGTTATTTAACTTATTTGCTTGATTTATAAATAATTTTAACATTCTTTTTAATATTAATCATGTGGTTTTTATTTAAGAAATACTGGTGTTATGTTTTAACCTCAAACTTTTGTTTATCAGATAGTATTACTTTGGTAGTTGTTGAGAAATTATTTATAACCTGTGGCTTTTGGTAATTGATATGAAGTTTTTTTAAACAAAACCTGTGTTTATGTAAAAAATATTAAAATAATATTTGAAATATTTAAACAAAAGTTTTAAGAGAATCGAAGTCTCTATAGGAGCGATAGTTTGATTAGAGCAGATAACGCCAGAGATGGATAAATGAGCTCCCTATACTTATAAAAGCTTACACGCGCGTGAAAGCAAAAGAGCAAGAAAGCTTTTGACAGAACTTATTGCCACTAACTGGTTAAAAAGTCTGTAAATCAGAGAAATAGTTTGAAAGATGAATCATGGTTTAACACTAGTATTAACAAGATTGTATTTTTCCCCGACTTATAGGGAATTTCATATAATCCCGCTTGCCAGATGTTTTGTCTCTAATCTTCTCAACAAAACAGCGGCACTTTGATAATGTTTTCATTACAATCATTGGTTCCTTCCTATCAATCATTGGTTCCTTCCTATCATTTAACAACCTCCATATCATCTTCAATTACAACAATTTGTAATAAATACACATAAAATTTAAATTAAAAATTACACAAACAAAGAACAAGCTCGAACCGAACGACCGACCAACCGATCAAACGTCTATAAATATAATACACATTATACATTATTTAAGTAACTTTACACATGAATTGATTGCACGTTGTATTTACTACACAATTTATTGTCTACATCACACAATTTTTATGCAGCAATTTTTTTTTTTTTTTTTTAGTCCCAATGTATTTGACTATTTTAGTTTAGTTTCATTTTCTTGTTTTTGCATAAAAATCACACAAATCTTGTGACAATTACACTTTGCAATATATTCTAAATTTTAAATTCAAATTGTAACAATAGTGTTGAATGTACAAGTATGTAGTATAGTGGAGTAGAGTAGTGCCAACACCACTCCTCCAAAAAAAAAAAAATTCTAATGTATTTAGTTGTACAAACTACATATAGAAAAAGTTAGCATAAATTAGAAAGAAAATGCGACAAAAAAAAGCAACACAAAACCTCAAATGACGGCAAACCTGGTACAAATTTACAAATAAATAACGAAAATAGTAGGGGTATTCAAAGTAGTCGCATTTATGGATCAATCTCCACGTCAATAGATAAATTTCAGTCTCAAATGTAGAACAACATATAGTCTCGACTATGGAGTGGATTTAAGAGTAGCTAATAGTCTCTTAGATGATAATCTCTAGATGGTAATCTTGACTATAGAGTAGACTATAGTATCGACTATAGAGTAGACAATAGTCTCGACTATTTAGTAGACTATAGCCTCGGTTAAAGAATAAACTTTAGGATTAACTACAGAATAGACTATAGATTGTACTACTGAATAGACTATAGTCTCCACTATAGAAAAGAATATAGTCTCGACTGTAGAGTAGACTATGTCTACACTATAGAGTATACTATAGTCTCCACTACAGAAAACAATATAGTCTCGACTA